TATACTTTTATTTTATTGGCTTAAATTTTATACATAGAAACAATCTCAGGAAATTCAAAGATTCCCTCCAGAAGACAAGATCCTCAAGCACTGATCCAGTTCATACACAAAGAAACACAACCAGGAATTTAGAGAGAAGCATTAAACGTCAGAGCAGGGATTTAATTTGCACACGTTGTGTGAGTTCAACCTTCTCAGTAAGAGCAGCTCAAACCTTTCACACCTGAGTGTGACGATGAGAAATAACGCTCTCTGTTAGAAAATGTACACCTTGGGATTTATTTTTAAACATTCTCTGTACAATCCCATTTTATTCATTTATGAGGTTGTGCTTGACCTACGTTCTTGTTGTAAATGCCTTTTGTAAAATGATAAGAATGTGATCATTTATTTTGTGGTATAACTTCCTGACTTCTGTGACATCACCCACAGGAAAACCCTAATTAACTTATTTTCTAGCAGAAGTTTGACTATCTTTTTTAAATTGGACCTCAAACCTCAGTTTTAAACCAGATTGTTTAAGCCGATCTATAACTTCTAGGTTCATATCTCTGTTGGGAGATGGTCTATATGTTAGATGTACACAAGACACAGTGTTTTCCCTGTGGCTCCACAGGGAAACCTTTGGGAACTTATCAGGAAGATTCTTCCAGAATCTCTTACTCTTTAACTCTCAAAGCAGATTTCAGACATTTATAAAGTTTTTTTTTACTTTAAATGATCAGCTCTTTCTGAACATGTGTTTTCTCATATTGCATCACTGTATGTGTGTGAGTATTGTAACAGTATGTAAGTTGTACAGATGCGCACAAAACTCACTGTACTGTACTACACACACTTCTACACCGTTGTACACATTCCTGCTGTAACAGATGCTCCCGTTCACACTGGCTGATGTATTTTAATAGGGTGTGTTTTTGCTGTGAAATCTAGTTCTTTCAATCTATGTTTTTACAAAGTGTGGTTCCACTTTATCTTTTTGATTTGTTCCTCTCTTAATTGTAGGTATTCAACATCTATCATAGAAATCTGGGTGTTTGATCATGTCATCTTGTCATGATTAAATTCCTGCGCTCCTTTAATTTAATATATGAGCGTGTGATTGAAGACAATAGTTATTAGCCTGCGTGCTAATACGTCTGATTACATGTTTGTTTGTTTTTTTCTTTTCTTTTTTTATTGTCAAATTCATGTACCTATAGCCAGAAGCTAGTCATGTTTGTATACCTGGTTCCTTCACTTCACTGACCTAAAAACAGAAATAACCTCACTTAAAATTTGGCTTCTGTATGTTTATTGAAAGTAGTCTCCCACTGTGTGTGTGTTTTCATGCCTGTGTTTGTCCTTGCTTGCTTACAGTAGAGCAAAGGTTCTTCCTGTGGATATTTTTGCTGGTTTGACTTGAGATTTTCGAAAAACAAGCTCGTCGTGTATCGTTGATGTTCACGATTCTGCTGTGAAAACAGGATAGACATTGGAGCCATGATTAGACTTATTTACCATTTATCTGCTTTTTCAGACACAGAACAACTTTGAGTGGATAAAAAGAGCAACATACAATATGTAACCAATCCCCCCCTCTAGTTTTTGTTAGTTTTACTGTTTCTAAGTATTGTTTTCTGCACTTTTTAAAATATACAAATTAATTTTGGTTGACCATATTTTGTTTGTATTTAATGGGGGCACTTTGAAATTTGTCCCCTAAGTGAAGTGAAACGAAACACATGAAATCTACTGTATGCAAAACATGCTGAAAAAAAAACCCCAAAATAACTGAAACCCAAAATGGTGCAGACCCAGTGGATAGAGGAAAAACAGTGAATACAGATTATGTTAGGATTTTTTTTTTTTATTTAAGCTGAGCCAACTGCTGAACTTTCATTGTTTTTAAAGGCCTTTCTCCTCCTCAGTTCCTCCTCAACATCAGTTTTGGTCCTTATTTTGGTTGGTTTGTAGTTTTTCTTTCAGCAAGTTTTATGTTAATTCCTAACCTTACCTTGGTCTTCCTTTCTGTTCTCCTCCACAGCTCTTCCTAATACCCTGCTTGATTAGTCTGTGTTTAATATCATTCTCCACTCACACCTCAATATAAAAGCTTAGTGTTCTTTCCAGGATAATTTAATTGATCTGCCCACACCCCATGTCCTGTTTAATTTTGTGAAATGTATGTTTCTTTTTTTTTTACCTCTACCATGTTTATCCCTATGTCCTCACTATATCTTGGTACTTTTGTAACCTTAAAAAACATATTAGCTTAACTTTGATCAAAATAAAAAAATCAGGGGAACTCCATATTCAATTGACAATTCTGTTTCCAACTATACCAAATAGTTGCTTTTTGTTTTCCAAATATTAAGAAAAAAAAAGTTAAAGTTTATTTTAAGCAAACTTTCTGTCCAGCAGACATTTAAAGACTGATGCTTCAGAATCAGACATTCTTTAATAATCCCAGAGGGAAATTACTTTTGTTACATGCTCCAGATATACAAACATTATATATATATATATATATATATATATGCAAGGAATGAATAAATGTCAATTACAGAGGGGGGGTGTCTGAATCACTTGAGGGAGGCGTTGTAGAGTTTAATCACCACAGGCAGGAATGATTTCCTGTGGCGCTCTGTGGATCTGGGTAAAAGGAGTCTTCTGCTGAAGGAGCTCGTCTGCTGGACCAGTATGTCATTATATGTGATAATTGACGAATTAGTAAAATACAATGAAATTCATACTGTGCCATTAATTGCATACTAATCAAGCCGATCTATCAGTCAGCTTTTGTTTGCAAAATTATGTATTTCTGCTCTTGATTCTCTGTCTTCTGTTTTCCTGTATTTTCACCCCATTTTAGCATTATTTGTTTGTCGTCCAACATGGCAGGGGCTGTTTTGCAGGGTCTTTAAAAGGACAAAATTACCAGACCTTAAGTTTCTTTTCAGAGGAGCAGATGTTTTTTATTGCAGAACTTACATAAACTTTACATTTATGTAGATTCTATCTATTTTAATTATCGTACCTGATGTGGTGTTATTCATTTCCAACATGAGCTCTTTTAAATATCCGCCTTTGTTTTTCTCTCTAAAAAAGCATTTAAAATAAACACCAAGAAAGTTTCCACTGAAACAAAATGCTGAAACAGAATTGGATGGCTTTTATAGTCCCTTAAACAACAGAAAAGGCAATTTCCACTTCTATCCAATTTGTTTTTTTGTTGTTTTTTTTAAGCTCACAAAAAATAACATCTTATTAAAGCTTAAGGCCTTAGTTGCTCCCTTTACAACTCAATTTTATGTTTTGTAGAATAATATTTTCCTGGGCCCTTTTGGACCAAAGTACATGGACGATGGACCTCATGGTATCACCAGAAGCCAAACACTCCTATCACTGTGATCTCACTTGTACCAGTCTTCTTTTTCTTATGCTGTATAAATGTAAATTTGATGGCACTCCTGTGAACGATTAACTAATTTTAAGTGTTTGTAATACTGGTTTTATTTTGTACAAAAAAAACAAAAATAAAACGAAAGACGAAATAAACAATGATAAACAAATCATTTGTTGTTAAGTGTTTGTTTTTATTACATAGGTGAGTAAAGTTTAAATAAGGGAAAACAAACTGTTGACATGTGCCACATTTCAAGCTTGCATAACGGATGCAGCTGGGAAGTTGCAAAGTGAAATGTTATCTTAACTCAAAGAGCTTCAGGGAAAACTGTTATGAATAAGAAAACCTTTTCTGCATGTCCCTAAAGCCACTAAATTCACCAACCCTTGCAGCTGTAACTGCAGAGGGTGGGACCTATTAGTGGGTTCTCTCTCGGTCAATTTGGGCTGAATAACATTTGAAAGCTAACAAATAAGCCTGATTCCCCGGATGAGCTTCAGAAGAAGCACTGCTTTTTCTTGGAAATCCTTTAATCACTTGATCATCTTGAAGGTTAAAGAATAATTGCATATAATCTGGCCTCTAACAAAAGTACCATTTGAAATGGGAGACCAGAGCACATAAAGGGTAACTCTAAGACTTGCAAGTGATTATATACCAGCTGGTATGGAGAGGTTTTTGAGACTATTGGAAAAAAAACATTTATTTTCCAGTTGATCCATATTGACCAACACCGCAGTTCTTTATGGTACTCACTGACTCAACAAGGTGACAAAACCACTCAATGGAGATTATATTTCATATTGGCAGGATACAGTAAATAATGCAGATGGCACAGATTCTCCATGTGAATCTGCAAGTTCACTGCATCCCAAAGGGCCTTTGCTGATGAGCTCATAATAGGCCATCGTATATAGGCTGCATTAACCTTTATATGTTAATGCAACAATCTTGTTATATTTAGGAAACCGGTAGAGAAACAGTAATTTCAGTTTTGGTGTCTAGGTACCTTCTTTGATCTCTTTTGATAACAAGTCTCTTTTGTCAACACAGCTGCTGCCTACTTGATATTTTCTGAATGTCCATTGAGATTAAATAAAGACCTGAATTGGTATCTAACAATCCTATATAACAAACTCCTTGTGCTGTGCTAAATAGGTAAGGAACATTTTGCATATATGTTTCCAATGTACATATTTTGCTTATATCAAAATGTGATTTTATTTTTTTCATTAATGCCTTACCACATTGTTTTTCCACTATTCTAAGGTCCATATTTGTGTGATCATTTTTTATTTTATTGCTGCTGTAAACACCAGAATTTTCCCCATCGTGGGAAAATAAAGGGATTTTCGATTCTATTCTAATTTTTGTGTTCAGATTAACTTGCACCTAAAGATATATTATAATCCCCCCCCCAGGACCATCTTTACAAATACTTAAAGTTATAATTATCATTTGTAAAAGGGATAGAAGTAGTATCCACACCTTTTTGTTTTTCTATTTACTTTTCTTGCAACTGGTTGATCTGGAGTTTCTTTTTTCCCAGTTGTCATTGAAAGCATCACAAGTGGACGGGCTTGTTTTCGTCACGTGACCAGAAGAAGCCGTTGATAGGTGAACTGCGTTCGGTAATGTTAAGACTTTCTGTGGTGTGACAGATCCCGTATGAAGTTTTAAAGCGTGCTGTCGGTAGCTTCTTCCTTTGAATATCTGAGAACAAACCTTTATACTGATAATTCCTCGGACTTGGACTCATTAAAGGCGCTCTTCTTTTGCTTTAAAGCCCCCAACGTGAATGCTAACTTTAGCCAAGTCGCTAGCTATCTGATCCACAACCCTCTGTCCTTTCTAGGAGTGCAGCCACGCTGAGTTGCTTTCTGGCTGTTTTAATTTGATATCAAACTGATGTCACAGCCTGCTGCTCTTTATAACACTAATATATGCTGTGCTGTCGATGGCAGTTTTTGCTATGCAGTTAAATAACAGCTAACTGTCCCATCCTGAGTGGTTTTGGATAAGACATCTCTCAGCTGTGTCTCCCAGACATGGACGCTATGGAGCTGTCTCGATAGGACAAGTGTCATTTGCTGTAAGTCATCGTTTTAATAACATTAAAGCTGATCACTTGAGGTAGTTGTGACGCAAATTTTCGATCTGATGGTTTCTCAATGTTTCGTTTTCGTGTGCTTGTTGTAAACGAGAGGCTGTAAGCTCTTAAAATGTTGAAATACTTCAAATAATTATTTTTATTTTGGCTGCCGATGATGAAAAGTTACTGACATGTTTCACTGTTAAACTGGATATCCGTTACCTTGGAAAATATTCTCATCCCTTGGGTTTTTCAAAAGTGGATAAGTTTCTATTTCAAACTTGAATGCATTTTATTGTAATTTTATGATCCTCAAATATACTTTTCATATTTTTATTTCTAAAAAAATGATATCTGATTTTACTTCCACAGTTCTAATACATACATTACTTTACACAATAATTCATTTCTGTGGTTGTGTAATTAAACCTGATTTACAGAAGCTTAAGGAGTAGCAAAGTGTTGTTATTGTGAACGTCTGCATTGAATAGGCCACTTTCTCCCAGCATATTTAATTGTTATAATCCAGTAGCAGTTTCAATATTAACTGAAAAAACTACATATGATGTCTATAGATTGAAAGGCTTATTTTAATTTGAGTTATGATCATCAGTGGCTCCCCTCAGCTGATATACAGAGTTGTGACTTACTTTGAAAGTGAAAACACAATCAAGGTGTCTGTCCTTTCTTCTTCAGACACAGAGAGCCTCCTCCGTGTGGCGAACAGTCACTATCATCATTTTCCCCCAGAACTACCCCAGCTCCTGCATCATCATCCCTGAGCCATCACCATGTTGGAGGGACTCGTAGCCTGGGTACTAAACAATTACCTGGGAAAATATGTCAGCAATCTGAACACAGATCAGCTCTCTATTGCACTTCTCAAAGGTAATATTTTTTTTCTATGATCTGTTTGGTATTTTTTTAATATTTAAAATGTGCACCTTCTGTCCTGTTAGGATAGGAGGGAATCCTGTTAACCACTAATAAGTAGATAATTAATGAAAAAGCTTCAGTCCTGTCCCCAGTGGAGAAACAGGTTAAAGAGTTAATTTAGGTTTCGGTTGTGTGAAAAAATTTATTCTAAATTAAGTGAAATCTATAAGCTACAATATGTCTAAGTAATTCATTTCAAACTTTGCAATCAATAACCCAAAGAAAGTCCAATGCTACTCTCTGGGGAAAAAACAACAGTTCAATATCATAAAATCTAACATTAAGTCTCAGGAGATGTTCCTAATGGTCATTAATAATTACGCATTTAATATGGATTAAAGTTGCATCTTGAAATGGCCATTGCAGATAGATGAGAAATTAAGATTTGTTTTATTCTAATAATTCCTCAGGTGCAGTGGAACTGGAAAACCTCCCGCTGAGGAAAGATGCCCTCCGAGAATTTGATCTGCCATTTGAAGTCAAAGCAGGTGAGTATAATATTCTGACTGATGACCTTAAAAAGTTTGTTTATAATCCTCAAGTTGGCAGATGCGTAGAGGACTTGAGCTCGATATTATTATATCTGGGGTGATCTAATAATTTTTTCCTTTCTACAGGAAATAAAATGTTTTCAGTTCTGATTTGATTCTGCAAAACTCAGGTTTTCAGAGAGTTTGTTCCAGAGCGGAGGAGCACATGCCTTAGATGCTGCTTCTTCTTGTTTTGGTTTCACCCTAGAAAAACCGAGAGAAAAGGTCTATAAAGACCAGAGTGGTCTTAAAGGTTTATATCAAGCAAGTCACTCTGGGATGAACCCAGGATTTGGACCACTGCCTGCCTTGTAGCACAATAATATCCATCCAGCTGTGATAAAGGAACCAATGTAGTGATTTAAGGACGGCTGTATTATTATCTATTTACCTGCTGTTGGTCAGGTCTCTGGCAGCAGCAGTTTGGATGAGTTGCACCAGCTTGTTTTAATTTTCTCCTTTCTAATTGATTCATATTGACTCCTTTACAATCACTGAAAATGTAAACATTCATCAATTTTTCTGTCAGATTTTGAAAGGAAACTCTTCATTCTGACATAAGGGACTAATTTACTTTCTGGATTCAGCTGATAAAAATTCTAAAAAAAATGAATTTACTTTGCCTCTTAGTGGTGACAGAAATCTGAAGGTATGTGTCATCAGCATGGTATAAGATGTACAGTTATACTAGCTTACTTAAGGTGGATGGAAAATGTGAATGTGTCTTAAGGAGGGAACTCCAGAATTCACGTTACCTAATGACTATAATCTGAGGTTGACTGATGTGTTCTAATGTACATTATTTAAACTTGATTAACTTAAGCTCACGCGTTCAATTCAATTTAGGTCATTTATATAGCGCCAATTCACAACCCATGTCATCTCAAGGCACTTTACAGAGACAATTCAACCAGAACATACAGTCAGGTTGGTTCAGAGTTTTCTATCTAAGGAAAACCAGCTGATCACATCAGAAAGCATGCTTGTAGCGACAGTGGAGAGGAAAACTCTCTTTTAAAAGGAAGAAACCACCAGTAGAACCAGGCTCAGTATGAGTATGAGAAGCAGACAGATAGAAAGAAGCAGATGCAAAATATGCACCGTTTGTTATGATATTTTAAAACTGTTGAAGAGCTTCTAAAAAGCACTGTATATAAAGACAGATCTACTTTTTAAGATATGTACCTTTTTTTTATCATTATCTAGGATTTATTGGGAAGATCACTCTTCAGATCCCTTTCTACCGGCCCTATAGTGACCCCTGGGTCATCTCCATGTCCCAGCTCAACCTGATCATCGGCCCCGCCCAACCTCAGGAGTTTGATGTGGAGAAGGAAAACGATGAAGCAAGGGAACGCAAAAAATACCTCCTCAAGGCTCTTGAAGATAAATTCAGAGTGAGTTCAGTTTTTCCTCCTGGTCGGCATTGACAAAGGATCTTCTTGTTTTAGTTGCTTTTCCGTGCTTCAGGAGTTACTACTTTTTCATCAGCAGTTTTCATGAATCCTCTAAGTCTGTTTAAGCTTTCTTGTTTTTTTATCATAAGATAAGTTTGTTGGGAATAGGTCATAAGACAAGCTTAATGAAAAAACATGGATTATTTTCATCTCACCAGGTGAAATTTAGTTTTTTTTCCTGGACATTATTAATGATATCCAAGTCTTGACTGAATACACATGTGGCACATAGAGCCTGACCTTTAAATACAATGCAAATGCCTTTCAATTTTCTTTGTAATCTTCCAAAGAAGGAAAGCTTCCGCTTCATTATATCTTTGAGTTTCAAGTAAAGACAAATGCCTTTTTCTTTAGCTTAAAAAAAATTAGAATATAATTGTGCACAAAAATTACCTTTTGAGAGTTCAGCCAAAGTCTGGGTTAAAATCTGAGTGAGGAGCTGTTGTGGGAATGTAACCTTTCCTGCTCACCTTTTAGTGTTGCTGTTTTTAAAATGACTGCATAGAGAAGTGGGACAAATTCCTCTACTCTAGTTGAATACTTCAGTCCAATTATCACAAACATTTGTTAGGGGCTGTTGCTCCTATTTGGATTTGCTTATTTTCCTCTGGAAAATAAAACAGATCATTTGAAACTTTTTTTTGTCTTTAATCAGCCTATCTTTGCCTTTTTTAAGAATCTGTCTGTGCTGAAACACGTCAATGTGACAAAAAGAAAAAAGAAACTGGTATAACCAAAGTATGCCTGTCTAGATTTTCATTTCTAAAGCAATAGCTTTAGATGTGTCCTGATCTGATATTGATATTGGATATAAGCCAAAAAATAAATTCCAGGGGGCATCAAAAATATCCAATAATAATAAACTATCAATTTCTGTAACCTGTCAGTTAATAATAAATTGATCAGTGATTATCACACCTATTCTTGTTGACTGTTGTTCTCTGTTTGAGTAGAAGAAACTGGATTGAGCCTTTTCTAGCATTCTCAGCTATAAGATGAGTAATAAAAGTATGTATGATTTGTCCTGTTATCATATTGGGTGAATAACAAAGCTGCAATGTTGTTATCGTATCTGAAATGAAAAAGCTGTTTGGGGACATCTCAAATAGTTTTTACAAAAGATAAAATAAAAGAGGATTTGTGTTGGAGGGACAGAGCAAATTAGTTATTAGAAAATATACTAAAAACATAAATTAATTTGGCGATACATTTTTTGTTTTCGAAAAGTTTTGATCATCACTGTTAATATTTTCCTGTTTTCTCTTGTTTATGGGTGTGGCTCCTACAGAGCGAGTGTGAACAAAGAGGAGAATCATACTGGTACTCCGTCACTGCCTCTGTTGTCACCAGGATTGTTGAAAACATTGAGGTGAGCTCTTCAGCTTTATTTAATTCATTATTTCACCTAATCAGTTAATGTACTCTGAGCTGGTCTGACCAGGCATTTGTTTGCTGTTCTGCCTTTAATTTTTAGCTGAAGATCCAAAATGTGCACCTTAGATTTGAGGATGACTTTTCCATCCCAGAGAAGCCATTTTCTTTTGGCGTTTGCATCAACAGCGTTTCTGCTCAGAATCCTTCAAAAGAGTCGGTAAGCGTTCAATTGTCCAGTAAAATAAAGCATTTCTAATGTTGAGAGTTACTAAAAAGGTGAATTTATGTTTATGTTTTCCGTACTAGTATTTAATAATTAAAATAGCATATGGGGAAAAAAAGCTAAATTTTTTCATTTATCTACTGTGTGCTAAGAGTTCCTGATTATCAGGTTACATGTTGGTTTTAAATGAAACGTTGAGCAGATCCTGCTGCAGTAAATCCTTGTTGATTCTGGCCTATTGGTTAAAAAAAGGGTTTTGTTTTGGTCTCAGGTCCAGAAACCTTTTAGACAAAAGCAGTTGGAGATTGAAGACTTCAGTGTTTATTGGGATACCGAGTGTGAAATGCTGGGAAAGCTGCCTGCAAACCAGATTCAGGTTGGTTACATATTGAACTTTATTGATTTATATGCCTATCTGGCTCATTTGAATGGTGCAAAGATCACTGTGTTGCCCCACTCATTCCTGCATTTACCTACATCTTGAAAGTTACATTTTGCAACAGGCTAAAAGCTGTGGTAACTTTTGGATGTTCTTACGAATGTTCTTTACTAAACGATATGTATGCGTTTAAAAGAAAAAAAAGCATTTTCCTTTTGTAAATCAAAGAAAGAAATTTAGACCTAGATTAAATATTTAGTTTTTGTTTTAATTGTTTTAGTTTAAAACAGCTCAGTGATGATTCACTTTGATTCTATAAAATTAGATTAAAAAGGCTGTCTGTTTTCTGACTCTGCAGGAGGCAATGACTCAGTGTATGCAGAGTCGTGAGCACCAGTATATATTTGAACCAGTCCGGGCCTCCGTGCTGCTCAGGAGAAACACCTCCAGGGAACCTCTGAGGTCTCGACACAACCCTCGGATCGAAGGCCAGGTTCAGCTGGAGCCGATGTCGTTACGTCTTTCACAGGTTTGCTACAGAAACTGTTCATCTTTGTTTCCTAATAAGTTATCTAAATGTTCAGAAGCATAAAAACGGATTGAAAATATTTTTATTATGTTATCCAGGTGCTTGTTTGGATAGAAAGAAAATTTTCTTGCATAATCTTTCCTTTATAGGTTCAGTACCAGCAGGTGATGGTTTTCCTCAAAGAAGTGGAACGCAGAGAGAGAGGAATGCTGTACAGAACATGGAGACCCAAAGTCCCAATTTCTGGAAAGTAAGGGCCATCTTTGTTTTATTTTTTGTAAATTTCCTTCATCATTTTATTCATTTCTCCTCTTGAGTAAATCTCTAAAATGAGATTGCTTTTCTTGATTGTTTCCCCCACAGCTGCCGCGCCTGGTGGCTGTTTGCCATTCAGGCTAACCTGAGTGACATCAGGGAGCTTCGGAGGCGAGGAAGCTGGGGCTTTGCACTTCAGAGAGCTCAGGACGCACAGACCTACACCAGTCTTTACTTCAAAAGACTTAAAGGCGTTCTACTGATTCCCGAGGAGGAGGTATCATGCCGCTGTCCAGACACAAGACCGACACAAATAGCCCTTTAATGCTATGTAAATAGCTAACTATACCAATATTTTCGTCAGAAAGGAGGTAGAGGTGGTCATTTTTAAACTTTGACTGATAAAGTTGTCAAAAAACCTTTAAATAATTTTCCCTTTGGTATTTTGTCAAGAAAAAAATAACCTAAGATGCAAGGAGAGATTAAAAAAAATATATTTATATCTTCAGACAAATTTTTGTGGAATTCTCAAATACAATTAAAGATAAATGGGTGGATTTAATGATTTGTTGGACCACATTAAACAGTTTTTGCATTGTTCTAACACATTTCTTCTGGATTTGTTATTAAGGCTCAACTGGAACGAGTTGAAGAGGAGCAAACTCTAGAGGAGCTGCAAATTCTCAGGGAGGTTGTCCATGACTGGTTTCGAAAAGAGGAGGAGATTGCGGAGGTATGATGTTTAGATCATCTTGGTGGGTTGGCAAATGTTAAAATGAACTTTATTGAATTAGAATATAATCAAAAAGTTAATGTATTTCAGTAAATCAATGTATATAACAATCATTTATAGATCTACAAAAAACAAGTGATAGTTCTCAAGCATTTTATCTGTTGATTTTAATAATTATGACCAATGTTCACTGAGTTGACTGAGGACCACTGTGAGCAACATCATTGTGCACGCTGTTAGCACACACCAGTATTAAACTCTTAAAACTGGTGTGTATAGCAAACTGGGAGTATAGCAAGTTACATTGGTCATTAAAAGAAAGAGATTACAGCAGCAATTTCCAATAGTTTACTTTTAATTTACCGGGTAAGTCATTTGGTCCACTAAAAAAGAAGAAAAAATAAAATTGTTGAAAATTAGATGTTTAGTATGCTGTAAGTTAGAGTCCTGGTCTCCAGGGTGAGAGTAATTACAGTTTTTTTTTTTTTGCGTTTATACTATAAATTATATAACCGTATAAGCATTTCATGATTAAACTTAATGTGATAATATGAACAAATATGATTTAAATCTTTTCTATTTTTCATTCCTTTTCTTCTTGCTTCCCCAACGTTTGTCCAAAAATGCCACTTCAGGAGGATTTTGGGGTACTTTTTAGATATTATTCATTGAACCAAATCTTCTTTGATGATGGAGCTGGATGTTTGAAATGTTTTAAAAATGTCCACATGTTGTTAGATCTCCTTTAGGTCCTCACATCTAAGTGCTGCAAACACCATATCTGAGAATGGGCTTGACCTCTTTAAATTTTTGCTTTATCGTGCCATTGAATTTAGCAAAAATAAATAACACAGGGCATGCTGTCTACGCTGCGCTATGCTGTCAACAGATGCTTCCTAAGCTGTGTGCAAGTTGGATAGCAGGGCTGTGATTTTCATCATTCTAGAAGAATAGACTAATAAATAGTTTGGACTGCCATATATATTCATCTTCCTGCTGGATTATTACTTTATAAACCTGCAGCGCTCTTTGATAAAGACTGCTGAAGAAGGTTATTTGCTGAACTTTTTTTTTGAAGGGCACACATTTTGCTAAACATATTCATCTAAATGCAACTCTTAATATTTATACGTTTTTATGCTAATAATTAGTTATTAGAATAAAAACTCATTAAGATGGGATGCTATAAGAGCCCAAAATGAGTTAAAGTTAAGAGGAATGTATTCCCTATTCATTTGTGTTTTAATATATGTCATTTAATATGGAAAGCTAAAATAACTTTCTCATTTCTCTGTTTGTGTGAAGAAATACTGTTGTTTCTCGTATTTTTATTGTGGGTTTTAAGTTGAAAAACAGTGATAGCCTAATTACAGAAAAAGGATGTGTTTGGTTGTTAATGTTGGATATATTTTATGCACTGCGTAGATTTTCTTATGTGCTGAGAATGTGTAAGGAGTGTGCAAAATCTGCAAGTGCGCAGCATAGAGGGAACATTGATTATAACCTAATACCTAAAATTTTGTTGTTTTTTTAAATGAGTAATATGCATAAAATCTGTTAAGAAAAGATTTGTGTCAGTAATTTGATGTGTTCTTGTGTTCTATGTAATAGAGGGAGAGACTTAATACTCTCCATTTGTCAAACATCTGTTGACACCCTCAACTGATTTATTGCTTCCAGACTTTTTCTGATTGTCCTTTTTTTTTGTAATTCTGTGTCCTCTTGAAGAATGTCCGAGAGCCAAGCGGCAGTCCGCAGCCTGGTCCAGCTAACACATCGATCCCTAAAAGCGGAAGCTCCAGAATGATTCAGTACTTGCATTCTTGGTTCCCCGGTTGGGGGGGCTGGTATGGAAATGCACAGGATCTGGACACACCTCAAGAACTTCTGCCAAGTCCTTCATCTTGGGATATTCTAGGTCAGCAACTGCATGCTGGCTCCAGAAGACCTTTAGTGTTCATGTCTATTAATCATCCTCAGTAACTAATCTTTAGTTGTCGAGTAGTAGCTTGTTTTATTTAACTAATTAGCTGATGGTCTTTCAGCAGAGACAGAGGACCTGTTCGATCCTTTGGAGGACTCCCATACTCTGAACACGTTCACTAGACGAGATCACATCTTTGCACGACTGGAGTTCCTATTAGAGAAGGGTGGAGTCACTCTGTTTCACGAGGAAAGGAGGGCGAACATGATGCATGAAAGTGGAGTCATCCAGCTGGAATTCTCAGGTACGGAGAAACTTCAGATCTCTGATACTTTCTGTTGACTCTCCCTTACATATAAATAAATTTGCACAATTAAATACTACAAATTACTTAAAAATCAATGTACTAGTTACAGTGCTATTGTTTAAGGATAAACTGAAAATCTTAAGGGTTCATCGCTGTTTTTCTGTTTGTTTTCAAATCTAGTACGAATTTAGATTATAAACGTTAGTGGCCCCTGATGAGCTCCACTATTAATTGTTCATGGTTGTAAAGGGACAAGTGGAAATTGGTGCAAACTGAGTGTGGCTTGAGAAAACTAAAAAGTAACTAAGAGCTGTTTGAGATTATATATTTTTAAATGTGCTTAAAAAAAACAATAAAAAGCTCTGCTTTTTATTGCTTTGTGTTTTAGAAATGTTATACATTTACATTTGTCTTGGTTTTAGAGCTACCAAGAGGTGGTTTATACAGCAAAGCTGAAACATCAGGTTCTTTAAAATATTCTTTCAATTAAGGTCAAAACGGCTACAAAAATAAACACTTGAATCCAATTCTAAATCTTTCCTCATAACATTTCTATCCCTAGCATAAGAAAAATATGTATA